AACCCTAAACCCTAAACCGTAAGACTCAGGGTCCAAAGAGAAGATGCCGAAGAAGCGGCATCCTTTCAGGTTCGTGAGGAGCAGTTTGCCGGGGGCTTGATTAATATTTTTACGGATATTACTATTAATATTAGTACTAGTGTTATCGTTATTGCTTTTATGGCAATTATTACTATTATTACCATTATAGAAATTCTTACAGTTATTACCATTGTTACTGTTATTAGTACTATTGTATTGGCAGGGGGCTTAGGAAGTTGAGGGTTATGGCGTCGGGCTGACGGTTTAGAATTAGCAAGGGTCTCGGGTTCAGGGTTTAGAGTGTTCGGGCATAGGGTTCACGGCTTGGGTCCTGGCTTCATAGCTTTCCAACTCTCACGCGTGGGGGTAGCTTGAAGAGTTCCATAGTGAGGGGTTGAATCGTGAGCTCTAGCTGCCACATCGCGGGTCGAAACGACTCGTGTAGGGCCACATGGAAGTTCCAGCAACCTTCAAGATCCAGCACTTGACGGCTTGATCCACCCCTTTTTCAGGGTGTCAGCTTAAAGCTTAAGGGTTAGGGGTTTTTCAGGTCTCTCTCCCCAATTTCAAGCAGTTCCCCCCGTGGCCCAGTCAATATCGGGGCGCATCTGTAAAATTGTAGAGGAGAGGGTACATGGCTAGCTCCTCAAGAAGCAGTCCCAAAGGTTCCGGATATTATTGTCCAATCCATAGAGTCAGACTAAGTCCTGTTTTGAGTATTTTAGTAAGAGGAAGGTAGATCTACTAGCTTCAACTCTTAAGCAACACTACCCAAATGATGAAGTCCGGTTCGCTAAGGATGAGGATCTCGAAGAAAAAAATGAGGAGCTCAAAAATCTGCAAGCGCAGCTGAAGGTGCCTTGTGGGCCTGAACCAAAAAGCCTAGGCCCGAAACCCTAAACCGGAGATCAAGGGGTTCAGCGGGGCTGCCGGAATTGTAGGGCGGAGGGTTCCGCTGCACGCGCTCCATGACATTTTCTGGATCCCCACCTAAGATCCCCTAAAACAATCCCCCAAGGCTTCCCAAAGATCCCCTAATTCTCCCTAAGTGACTCAATTAAGGGTGAACATAGGGGTGTAGGACTGATTTTTGAAAGGTGCGGAGGGGTGAAGTGTTTTGGATTGATGCAGGATTGACCTATGAATGTACAGAATAATTCGTATTATCTATGCCGCATGATCCTTATACGCATTAGCAGATCGTACCCCGAGGCCCTATTCAATGGGATGCTACGTCTCATCCTTGCAGGTTTTTGTATGTACCCTTTCTCCGTCTCATTTTCCATTGTCTTTTCCTTGTGGTTCCACAGTCTTAAGGTTTAGTGTAGGCTCTGACTACCCTTCAAAGGCGGTGGTTAATTAATCGTGGGTCTAAATTAATGTAACCCTAAACCCTAAGCCATAAATAGTAATTTCCATTTTCTTTTCCATTATCCCTATATAACCCCAACATATTAATCATGGGTCTACATTAGGGTTTAGGAATTATCTTTCGTGGCCTAACTGCTGCGGCTCGTTTAGGTAATTCCCCCCCCCTCGGTACACCCCCCCTCCCACTCCTATGGTAGCTCATGTACAGATTTGCGCATGTAGATTGGGGAGCATATTCCGTATTGGAGGACAAGGCCTTGCGCATGATACCCGGCAGGTTTGAAGGGGGTGACCCTAGACCCTAAACCCTAACCTACCCCGAGCCCTAAACCAACCCTAAATCCTAAACTACCCTAAACCCTAAGCCAACACTAAAGCCGTAATCCTTAACTCTAGGCCCTTACTTGTTTCTCTCGAGCAGCTGCTGTTCACCCTGGAAGTAAGGAGGTCAGGGTAATATTGACGTCTTTCCGCGAATGCTTCACTTCCACTCCCATAATAAGTTCCTCAATATGGTACCATGGATTGTTAGGGGCAGTACATATACATATATATGTATATATAACATACATAGATAGATAATAAATAGATGTATACATATTTCTGTGTATTATTATTAGTAGTTTTCGGGCCGGGGGTGGGATTATTAGGGGAAAGGATTTTACAACATCCCCACCGCCTATCATGAAATGCTCGTCGTTCGTATCTGCTGCTGGACGTTAGTGAGGGGCTGTACGTCTCAGAGCGGTGCGAGGGTGCGAGGGTGCTGTACACCAGGGATGAAAGTATATATGGCCTCATTTTTGGTATCTATGGCTTCTAAAAGTTGCACAGAGATGACTTAAGCATGATGCCTACTTTTCAGGCTTCAACGTGTTGCTGCTTATGAATTTGGGGCTTGGTGTTGTGATGCGACCGGATTGTGCCCACATGCTTGCAGCATGTATGGGGGAAGAACAAGTAGTCAAACCGGCAGGAGATAAGAATTGCTTGTAGCATCTGCAAAGTGCGTAGGTCTTCTTGAAGGTTCTGAGTACACGCAGGCGTGCACTGAACATCCTGACATCTTTTGTGGGCGTAAGGCAACGTGTTCACGTCCAAGCTGTGAAAGCACGTAACACAAGTCGAGGCAGATGGAATTGATAAGCCGTGGTGAAGTTGAATCCGTCATTCAATCTACACTGGTTACCTTGCACACTTCACAACTCAAAGCCAGACAGCTTGCGTTTGTGTACGCCTGCAGGAAGTGAAGCAAGCGCTTGAAGAAGCAGCTCACGATCGCGATGCTGCCGTACGCAAGGTGAAGTCGCTAGAGGCCTTCAGGGTGGCACCGGGATAGTGAAGCAGTCCCATGTTTTCTCCACAAATGTTCGAAGCAGTCGGCCTCAGAGCTCAAGTGATTTCATGAAGTTGTGACAGCAGAGCTTGCTCAGCAACAGCGAAGGTCACACCTCGGGCACCAGCACCAGTAGATCAGGGTATGTGAGTGCGGCAACTGTTTAGCCTTTCTTTCATGATCAAAATGGTTGGGGGTGGAAACTGGTTCCTAGTGCTGGTACATGCTCAAGTCATTCACACCAGATACTAGTCAGCACTGCCGAGTGGACAGCCATGGACAGTGGAGCTGAGAAACAGCTCCGGCTGGAGGTGGGCTCGTGGCTTAAGGTTTAGGGTTTAGGGTTTAGAGTTCAGAGTTTGCGGAGAGGCTCGCAAAGGGGCACAGACGTTAACCGGGTAAGGTTGTGATGGACATTGAATAGTTGTTGTTGAGGAACAGCCTTCGAGCTACAACATCCACTGGTGATCCCATGACCCCCATAACGGCCTAGGATCGTGGTGGGTCCCCTTTAAGAGGGCCGACAACAATGGGGAAATTCAGGAAGGGCCCCCAACGTAAGGCCCCCTAGACCCTTAAAACTTCAAATTCCTCGACCGAAAGCCTTGATTGGAATGCAGCATTTGTTAATGCCCCCGCTCTTATTATTGTGCCTTCGTCATCCTTCTTCACTTCCTGCTTTGGAACGACGCAGGACTTGCGGCATGCTATGGCCACAGCGACTTTGCGGCTAGCAGACTCGTCGGACGAGGTGCCACTGTCAGTGGGTTCTCTCAAACGCTTGGGTCCTTTTCTAGGGTCCCGATTTTGAGGGCTGTAGAGTTTTACGGGTTTGGGTGATGGGGATCGTAACTGACGGAACATTTCAAGCAACCCTAGCTTTGAGCAACACCTTCATGGGACCCAAAGCTTAGTCAGCAGTTTGAGCGTTCGGGGTGGGCATGTAGTTCAAATATGATGTAGGGGGTATATGAGTTATAGTTTACTTCTGGTATCCCCCTTAATACTCCCCTATATGGTCGCTGATATGATATAACCCCCTTTAAGGAGTTTAGACTATAGTTCATACGAGTAGTGTAGTTTATGTGTTTGAGGATGGTAGGCGTGGGTGTTCATTTGATGGAAGGCAGGGCGCGTCGGGATGTTGAGAAGGGTGGCGTGGCTGAAAGACTGAAAAGGAGCTTAGTTTAGGGGTTTAAGGTTTAGGATTTAGGGTTCAAAATGGGCATCCTCTGTCAGAATAATCCTGGTACGGGACCTTAAGGGTGAGCCCTCTTATCGCTAGATGATCCCTTCATATCTGTGGGTCCCGACTGGCACCCTCTTTTGAGACCCCCAAGAGTAGGGGACCTTTGCGAAGATGTGAAGAAGGGTTACTGCCTGAGAGGAAGACAACACTTCTAGAGCTCATTATGGAACTTGTTCGAGCGGGGGGAATGTAGGTACATGCACATTGGGCGTGGGGTTCCTTCCCTTAACCTAATTCTGTAGACCTTGGGCAAGATCAGACACGGAGTCACGCTGGCTCCTGAAGAGGGGCGTAGATAGGCAGCTTGTAGGAGGCTATAGCATCGTGGCTCTTCCGATTCTGATTGTAACCCTCGAAAACAAGGGATGATGATAAACATATATACCTAAACTTCCAGGGGCTGCCGCTGGCATTGGTGATATGAGCTATAGTCTAAACAAGTTGCTTCAAGGGGGTTATATAAGGGGTTATAAATTAGTTACAAAGGGGAGTATCATAGGGGTTATTGCGGGGGATACTGGGAGTTTAGACTATTGCTCCTATGACTTTGGGTCAGAGGAGTTTAGGCGTTTCCTTTTGACGGCTCATGCGGATGCCAGGAGACAGAAGCTACTTCCAAGGGCTCAAAGAGGCCCCGGCGAGGCAAAAATGATGAGGCCGGGCACTCTGTTGGAAGGGGTAAAAACAAGTAGCCTGGGGGATGTTGAGAGAAGATGTAATACAGTTGTACTAGAGCCAAATAAGGAAGTTAATGTCTACGAATATTCGAATTAATGCTGGAGGCAGGAGGTAGCGCACGGTAGGCCAGGGTGGTCGTAATTGTTGCGGATTCGGTTACACAATTACACGCCCCGTAGCAATGGTGAAACTATGATGATGAGAACTGCTACAGGGTCTACCTAGGGGGCCTACTTGAAGATGGTTGGTTTGTGGAGCAGGTCTATAAGAAAGGCTTGCGGCTTGCGTGGGTGAAGCGCGGGTGTACATCAACTCGACTAGGCCATAGTATAGTACAGTAGTATGCGTACAGCCGGAAGGACCCTATAACTTCAAAGCCAACAGACATTTCTGGTAGCCTGTGGCTTCAGGTTTACGGGCATGAGATTAGAGAGTAATGCTACAGTCCCAGCCTCCCTGACATGGACAAGGCCCAGAAAGTTTGCTGTGCAAGCGTGGGGTTCCGTGGTAGAAAGGGAACCCGTGAGTTCTCGGCTTAGGGTTTAGGGTTCTAGGGCGAAAGGTCTTGACATCCAGGACACAGCGGTAAAACTCGCCCTGCTCTGAAAGGAGCAACCCGCCAAGCGCCCGCCAAAGGCCGGGTGTTGCTCAGAAAAACTGCGCGACTATGTACACACACATGTAGAATACATATACATATACAGACGTACGTGTACATGTATATACAAACACACACATGTACATATATGTATATATATAGGGTCTCTTTAAGGGTTCTAGGGCTTATATAGAGCCATGCAAGGGACGTATGGGGTGTAGTGTAGGGCACAAGAGCGCAGAATCAAATTGAAACAGAGGTTGAAAACTAATTGGAAATTCGGGGTATATAAGGGTCTATAGACTGTGTACTAGGGTTCTTCGGAGGCTCGCTTGACTCAGTAAGTCTGCTTAGCAATTGGGACTCGGGGGCTAGGGGGCGCCTGCAAATGGGGTTATTGGGGATGGTAGGTTAGGTAGACGTACTAAGTCAAGAGAGCTTCCAAGTCCTCCCCCAAGCTTCTCAAAACAATCCCTCGAGACCCGGGTTTAAGAGAATAAAAGCCCTACATAAATTTTGTATAATGTGTCCCTACCCTAAACCCATATATGTACATATATACACATACATACATACATACATACATACACAGACATACATACATACATACAGACAGACAGACAGACAGACATACATACATATTCTTTCAAGCCCTACTGACCAGCCGTAAGTTTAGGGAGTCCGTGGTATTCTCATGGCCTGGCCTGTTTAAAGCTCATCGCATATGTGTAGGTGCGCATATACTTACCTGGGTTTAGTAGGGATGGAGGGAACATACTACTGGCGTTATATAGGGATAATGGAAAAGAACATGGAAACGGCTATATTATGATGGGGTATATATTGGGTTTAGTAGGGAATTAAGGGAATGTATTATGTAGGCGTTATACGGGGATTCGATTTCCTGGCAACCCTCAGTAAGTAAGGGCCTGCTGTTGAGCGATGCCAGCGACTCTCGTTCATTTTTCATTAGCAGAATACAAGAAAACCCCAGAACCTTATAACGTTACCATGACAAAAATAACCACCCCCCAGAACTTGTTTTGCGATCCGGGCTTATGGAAGGCGCGGGGGTCGTCATAATAAATGACGGGGGCGGCGGTAGGACTAGGTAGTGCAGCTCGTAGTACACTAGTAGTAGTAGTAGTAGTAGTAGTAGTAGAAAGTAATCTAGTAACATCGGGATATTTCGGGCCGGAAAAATAGATTATTGCCACCCCTTTATTATTGCCGATGGACCGTAAGTAGACCTTGTCGGGCTCCAAACTTGTTAGAATGCAAATTTGATTGTCCGGGATTTTCCAGGCCCGGCAACAAAACGCTATTGTCGCCCCCTTTATTAATGCTATGGTAACATTACCGTAAGTCGTATGCTGACATTAGCTATCATGGCAATTCCTTGTATCAATGTTCCCTAAACCCTGGACCCTGAATCCTACTCTTGTGCTGCTTCAGGTGGCTTTGAAGCGGGACTGCAAGCGCGAGGACGCAGCGTGGGTCCGAGCCAATCGTGAAGTTGTGCCGGAGCCCTTGGAGGCCGCCAAGGAGTCCAAAAACTTCCTTCAAGATTGGCTTTGGGAAGGATCCCTAGAGGAGTGGCTGACAAAGCAGGAGGCGCTGGAGGCTGAAGGGCGTGGGGACCCCTTCTTCTGCATGGCGCGCACATGGGGAGGAGGATGGGGAGGTCGATGTCTCATACCCCACCTGCCTGGAACCGAGTACTGCGAGGCCCACCGCGCACAGGTGGCTAGCCAAGGCTACCTGACGCACGGCCGCGTTGATGGGCCCGTGCCCCCGAAAAAGCTGAAGGAGTTTGAGGCTACGCAGCGCAAGCTCCGCGCATCCACAACCACTTCGCCTCCGCGAGGTGCCAACTTAGATTTTGTAAGGATCAAACAAGGTCACCAACACGAGATCCCGTCAGAATGATAAGAGATAACTCCCATAATCACTGGCCCTGCCACCAGAACACCAGCAGCTGCAATGTGCTTACAGGATTGCAGGATCAGTTGCTTAATTCAATTCTCGGCGATGTCATCCTACGCTCTTGCTGTGCCAAGCGTTGTCCCTGAGGTGAGATGCGCCTGGGAAAGCATGATGGACGAGTGGAAGCTATCCCTCGAAAGCGATGCACAGAAGACAAACTTCCAGCCAAAGACGAGCGCGGGGCGACCTTGCTTGCCACATGGCTAGCGGCTAGCGAATGCACAGAGTGGGGAAAAAGCTGGCTCTTGTTAGTGGGAAATGGGGAAATGGATTCATAAAGTGCCGATATGAAACCCCAAAATACAGTGTAGTTTCCACTTGCTTTCTTGTTCTTCATTCATAATATGATAGACCCTACACCAGCAAGTCTGACGGAAGGGTTTGCGGACGAAGGCTGCAAGTGCTTAGAAGTGTTCGAAGCCTACATAGGACTTTGGGCCGTTTTTCGGGAGTCCCTAGAACGAGCATCCTCGTGTATGGGGTCTTTTTTTGTGTTGGAGCCCCCTTCTTATGCAAACCCTCATGCTTGTGCAGCCAGTGCCAGGAACTTGCTTTTGAGGCTTCCTCGATTTGGTGCATCTTTGATACTTGGAGCATCAGGGTCTCTAGCATGGGTGCAGGCATCAAACGTGTTGAGTTGACTTAGCAGTAGCATCACTGGCATTATTACTTGCATTCACAATCTCATGGTTGCTGTCACTTTGTTACGTTCATTGCCAGCGAGGCTGTACTGGCACCGCAACTTAAGGAACCTTGGATTCGTTAACACTTCCAAGGAGTCCTTCTGCGGGGGTCTATCCCACATCTACCCCTTGGATCCAAAATAGCCTCTCTACAACCACAGCTTCCATTTGAGCATATTCGAGAAATAGTCTAAACTCCTTAAACGGTGCTTTTTTGGGGGATTATGTAGATGATTACTATTTGGGTGATAGAGGGGGATACTAGGAGTGTAGACCCTAATCCTAAACCGTAGACCCTGTATTATGGGGCTTCTAGGATTCTAGGAGTGTAAGACTGTGGCTTATTTGAGTCCCCATGATCCTAAGCTACTCCTGCCGTTGCCTTCCTTCCTGTACTGTTAATTGTAACAATAACCGTAACGCAAACAACTCACAACAACAGAGCAATAAGAATAACAGCAACGACGAAAATGACAGTAATAATAACAACGCTACTAACACTGATAGTATAGTGTTGCAATAATAAGACTCCTAGCATCAAGAATGATACCAAAAACAAGATAATAGGTTATAATATATTTGATATGATAATGGATTGTATTTTGCTTGAATATATACTGTATCAAATAACTGCCCCTTGCAAGCTGAGCCCACGCCAACTTTCAGGCAGGAGGCGCCAGTGGCCCATCGGCTGGCAATGCCCCCGCTTCGGGTCAAGGCCAGATGCCCGCAGCACAATTCCACAAAGCCCTAACAACTGGCAAAACATGCAAGAATTCTACATATCTTGGGGTCCTGGTAGGGTTTAATTTGCGGTTTGGGACTTCGGGCTTAGGGTGAGGCAGCAGGAAACATCAGAATCAGAGTGGGTAGGAGCGGTAGCAGCAGTGCCTTCACCATGGCGAAGCCAGTGTCGTAGTGTTTCGAGGTGATCCTCTTCCATACTCACTTGAACACCGGAGAACCACCCCTGGGACCCGTAAGGGCTTCGCCTTACCCGAATCCTTGAATGTTCGCGCCCAAGTCCCCGTATTTTGCACTTTAAACGTTAGACCTCAAACTCTCGACAAACCAACAAGGGGCAGCTCCAGCAGCTGCGCCCGCACCGTGCGGATCTCAGAAACTGCTTGCACCACTTATTTTGCATGTCACTGCTGGAAGCACTTACCATAGGCTTGGAAGGGGGTGCATACTTTGGCACACACCCGTAGAAAGACTTCGAGGGTTAAGGATCTCGTGATAGTTTCCATAGGGCAGCCTCAGCATGGGTTTCCCCATGTTGTGAGTTGTTTCAGTGAACATGTCTTAAACCGCGTTAGATGTCCACTTATCCTAGTCATCATTATTCCTATTATTGATATTACAATAATTATTATTGCTATTACTCGGGTACATATGAGCTATAGTCTAAACTCCTTGGAGAGGGTTTATAGGGGAGTACATAGCGTTCTCATGAAAGGGCTGATTAAGGGGCTAGAGTTCATATTGGGATTATAAAAGGGATATTGGAAAAAGGAAACCATTAGCTTGGTCTAGTTATGACCCCATCTCCACCGACCCATGAGATGTGGGTTTAGGGTTCAGGGTTCAAACCTTAAGGTGTAAGGTTTAGGGTCAGATGTGGCAGTTCAGTCTGGAAGCATTCCCATGGGCATGTAGTTTGAGTGAATGTTAAAGCGTGTTTGGGAGCATGTAAGCCCTAACCCCTTAACCCGAAAGCGTTGCGTAGTTCTTGTTGTATACCGGAAGGTGGTTCTAGAGCTCGATCGGGCATAGGACAGTCTGCAGCAAGGATGCATTTGTTGTTGTACTATCCTCATCTACTGGGCCCCTACATGTTCAGGTAGACCTTGGGCAGTTTCAACCCTAAACCCTAAACCCTTAACCCCTACCTCCTGACCTTAGGGTTGAGGGCTTGAATCCTATTCGTCAATCCTAGCACGCCCTTGCCCACTTCGAGCTTGATTGTTGAACAGACTAGTACATATGAGCCATAGTCTAAACACCTTGAAGGGGGATTATATGGGGGATTATATAAGGGACCACAACAGGGGTGATTAAGGGGGATACTAGGAGTTTAGACTAAAGCTCATAGAAGAAGTTGGATGCACTGAATCAGTGCATTCCGTCTTGAGGCACCGGAAAGATTTGCAGACGTGGCTTACCAAATGCCCTAGATTTCACAACTGGCCGGCCACAGGTTTGGGTGGCATTTTTTAATGAAGCAGCTTCTGAAATTCGGGGTTTTCCAATGAGGGTCCAATATTGGGTCTCCATCATAAGGATGCATTTTGGGGTCCCCACATTTTGGAAATTACTTTCTGGATACTCCGGGAAAGAATCCAAGCCTTGCTGTCTCAGATCTCGGTTTGATGCCATCATTTGAGTTATAGTCTAACCTCCTTAATTGGGGGTTATATAGGAGTGCATTATAGGGGTTAATCAGGGGGATACTAGGAGTCTAGACTAGAGCTCATTTGGATGCACAAGCCTCCAACATTAACCCTACACACAAGACCCTGCAGCCTACATCCTAAACTCCGGATGCTATGCCCTAAACTCTAACCCCCAAATGCTGAACCCTAAGCCACCACCCTTAGACTTTTGCAAACGAAGTTCAGCGACGCACGCACTGAGGCCACCGACCGTCTCTGAGCGGGAGGCCATCCGTCTCAAGTTCGAAAAGGAGGAGCGCAACAAGAGCTACACTCCCCCAAACTAACATGGAAACCCATATAGTCCCCTTTTAGAAGGACTGTAGTCTTTATAGGGCCCTTTTTGGGTTTCCATGTTAGTTCCCAGGAGTGTATTTTGTTCAGGAGTTGAAGGTTTGGATTATTGCAAGTAGCATATGGGCTGGAATCAAAACTCCTTAAAGGGGTTATACAAGGGATGTTATCAAGGAGGGTACTAGGAGTGTAGACTGTGGCTCATATGGACAGTTCATTTGACGTTAAGGGAGTAGGACCGGGATTCTTCTGGGGGAGATGGACAGAGCCCTACAGGGCTCAGTATTCTCAAGAGTCACTATTCTGTGAGCTCGCAGCAAGCCCATGCACAACTGAAAACCCGTAAGGGTCCTAAACCCTGAGCCCTAAATAGTAGTTTCCATTTTCTTTTCCATTATCCCTACATAATCCCTAGTATCGGGGTAATATCCCTATAATCCCGGCGGCATCAGATTAAAGGAAGGTAGCCAAGCCAGTGCCGCATCGCGGGGTGCGGGCAGGCCATCTAGGTAGATAAGGTTCACTGTTCAAGACAACCTTGGGTCAATCCCCCACCCGGTGACGGGTACCACAAGGGATTATTGTAGGTATATTAAGGCCTTGTTAGTTCCATATGAAGGAGTAATGGCGGGGATCGACCTAGCAAAGACCTGTAAGGGTAGGGGGCGTACTGCCCCGTCGGCAAGGAGATAAAGGGTAAGCCTTTGCGCCCGTGCTACCTCGAAAGGTGTAGACAGGCCTAGTGTGGCTTCGAAAGGTTCATTGTTCAAGGAAGTGTCGCGATTGAATTTAGTAGGCTTCACATCTTCACATGTGGGGCCAAGGGTGGTAACCTTTAAAACTTCAAGGGGCCTTATTTACATGAAGCAAAGAGGTTTTGTCAGATACGTTTGGGAACTTTGTCCCCCGCCGCTCAAACTGGGGCCTAAACAAATACCCATTTTGGGGCCTTACCAAAGTTAGGGATGCCATTTGGCGGGGTCCCCATAAGAAGGATCTGCCAGATGATGGTCCAGATCTAACCTCACTTTCCATTTCATGTTCCATTTATTTTGAACCCCCGAAAACCCTGATCCCTGAAGACTAAGAAGCCCTAAATCCTATGCAGGGATATACAGATATGAATACGTATATATATATATATCTCTCTCTCTCTCTCTCTCCCTACACAACCCCATATACCCCCCCATCTCCCCATATGTTGCTATGAACCCCCTATTATTATTATTATTAGGGGCCCTTGAAAGCAGGAGCTCTCCGAACGATGCGATCGTCAAGTGGCACAGCTGAAGGAGTTGGAGACGAAGGGGGCCCAGGCAAGATAGAGGGAAATCTTAGGTGGACCCCCCACCCTGAAATAGTGGTATAATAGGAATATAAGAGGACCCTAATATAGTTACTAGTATCCTTTAGAGTCACTATTACAGGGTGGGGGATCTTCCTAAGGGAAATCCAATATCATAAGCAGTTAATTTCTTATATTTTGCCATAATAGCCCAGGCAAGAGATGGGAAATCCTGAGTTATAATCAGGTAGTCTCTTATAGTCCCTTATAAGAACGACAACTATAGTTCTTCTCATTGCAGACAACGTCAGAGCTTTCAGTATACCGACCTGCGGCTCGGGCGAAGCAGGTTCGCGACTCAACTTGGGCTTGCAGGCTTTTTGAGGGTTGGAGCTGAGGTAAGTAAGACCATAAAAGCCGAAACCCTGAAACCCGAATCCCCCAACTCCTATACCCCATCACCCTCTAACCCTAAAGCTCCGAATCCGCAAAATCCTTTCTTGCCCTCAACCCTAAACCCCCAACCTAGCCCCTAAACCCCCAACCCTGAATCCTAAACCCGAAAGCGCCCGAAACCCGCAACCCTAAACCTAAACCCTTAACCCTAAACCCTAAGCACTAAAACAAAAAACCTGTGAAGGCCGCCCGGGATCTGGCCGTCAGCGACGCTAACCTTCAGTTTGAGCGCCAGCGCCGCCACGACTCGGAGGAGGGTCTAGGGTTTAGGGTTTAGAGTTTAGGGTTAAGGGTTCGGGGCTTAGGGTTCAGGGTTTAGGGTTGGGGGCTTAGGGTTGGGAATTTAGGGTTTGGG